GTGCGCTGGTGTGTACCTCACTTAAGGTGCAGCATAGCCAGTCGTCGCCTAATCGCTGCTGCAGACTCAATGGCAACGTCAGTCAGGCGGGCAGCACCACCAGCATATCATCGAGTACCATAACGGGCGACCAGCCCAGCGAACACTCATCCAAGGTAGTGGCTAGTAGTAGTAAACGTGAGACAGGCGACACGGAGAGTGATGTGGCCCAACTAATCACCGACGATATTTCGCAATCAGAGGCCACGGACGACAGCATTGGTGGGATACCAAGCAGCAGCAGCGGCGTCGCCGGTGTCGACGAAGCGCGACGACGACTCGCCGACAGCTTCAGTAAACTACGAATTTTAGACGAGCGACGTGAGGCACGGGAGTTAGATGGCCAACTAGGGCCGCGGCCTGTTGCCCGAAGCCAGGATCTCATGCAGAATCAACAGACAGCTTTAATGAATGGATATTGCTTGTCGAATTCATCTGGAGGCGATGGGGACAGCGGTAGTAAAGTGGGCAAAGATAAGAAGCCACATCCACAACCAAGAACATACAGAGTAACACTGCAAACTGCTACAGAGGAAACCACAAAGGAGGCCGCCGATAATAAGGTCAAAACCACTGTCACTATTGCCGAAACGGCGCAAATTATTCGTACACAAGAACAAGACCGGGAACAAGTAGGAGATGCGAGCATTTATAAGTCGACGAGTACACCAAAAAAATGTCTCAGATCAGCGCATAATCCACTAACACCAAAATCACCAAAGTCACCCGGCACGCCATCGCCATTATCTCGTTTCACGCCATGCAACTGTCAGTGTACACCCGCTGATTTTCAAAATAGTACGTTAAGCCCAGATGAGTTGGAGCAGCAGACATGTAAAATTATCGATTCGCCGAAGCAGTCCCCGCAGATGCCACGTCGGCTGGAACTCCAGCAAACAGAGAACACTATAACTGAAAAGCCGCACAAGCACTGCAAGTGCGTTTGCGGTGGACAACCGCCGCAGGTTGGTGCAGAAGACGAGGTATCGTCTTTCGTATTTGCGGGTTTGACAGCGAGACAGTTAGGAGCAAAGCCCACACCTACGGCTCCAGTGCCGACACCGACGTTTGCCACTGCGGCAGCTTCTATTTGCGAAACCAACTTCGTACCGACTATTGCCGTAGTGCCACCCACGCCTGAAGCAACTCTCACCATGACCTCCACGAATGTTTGGGACAACAGTGGGATAAATCTAACGACTGGCACAGCCTCACAGCAACAGCTTAGTAACACACCGCGGCAGGCAATCATCGAACACATACCCGAAGACTCCTGTGATGAGTCACCGCTAGACGAAGAGCTGCCATATCGTCCCATGAGCAATGCCTTACGGCGTTACGGCACCATGTCTAGTCTGGAGAAGCTACCCTCCGACGATCGCATAGACGGAGAGCTTGATGAGTTAGACAACGACGATGACAATGCAAATGATATGATTGATGTGGCCGACGATGACGATGACGATGATATGGATGACAACGCACGTGCCGACACGGTGGACCATGTACGCGAGACAATCAAGTCCAGTGTGTACACCA